ATTGAAAAGATATTATTTTGAATAAATTACAATGCAAAATAAGCAGTAGAGGTTCAGATAAGAAAAAAAGTTACAAAATTTAGTAATTATGTTCTTTGTGATTTTTAAATTAATATTCCATATGAAATAACCTTTTAACAAGCACTTACTGAAATATTAAGCAACAACTCACACATTTGAGAAGCAATAATTCACAAGACTTTCTAAATATTAAGAACATTATTGTCATGAAATATTTTAAATCTAGTAGTACACTCTTAAAAATAAAGGTTCTTTATTGGCGTCCATGCTTCCATGAAGAATCACAGAAGACAGCTGATGTTAAACATCCATGAAAACCTTTCCATTACACTAAAGGGTCTTTAGTTAACACAGGATCTTCAGATTATTACAATGTTCTTCACACTAGGAAAAAAAAATGGTTCTTTTAAGAACCGTTCACTCTTTGTAGAACCAACATTGATTCTTCTATGGCATCACTGTGAAAACCACCTTTTGGACCCTTTATTTTTAAGATAGTAAACTGAGAAAGATTACAGTCTCTCTAACCACTAATGCCGTTTCTCTCTTTCACAGAGCCCATCTATGTGCCCTTCCTGATGGTGGGCTCCATCTTTGTGGCGTTTGTAGTGGTCGGTTCTCTAGTGGCCGTGTACTGCTGCACCTGCCTGCGACCCAAGCAGCCCACACAGCAGCCCATCCGCTTCTCACTGCGCAGCCAGGGCGAAACCATCCCCATGATCCTCACCACAGCCCCTCCCAGCCTCCGCACACCATCACGCCAGTCCAGCACGGCCACCACCAGCTCCAGCTCAGTGGGTGGAGGCAGCTCAGTCCGGCGCTTCTCCCTGGGCCGGGGTGACGGGCTGGGACAGTGTTCGCAACAGCAGCTCCTGGTGGTCTCATCTTCCACGGCCTCCACTCCTGTGTCCGTGGCCCCGACGCAGCCTCTATCGGCTCCGCCTCCTCCACCGCCCTACACCTCCCAGCAGGGCCTGCAGGGTAGTAACTCTCTCCAGCACACGCACGCTCACAGCCAGTTACAGCTGCACCACCAGACCCTGCAAAGCTCCGGCTTCCTTCTGCCCACAACAGTACTTCTTTCCCCTGCCGCAGGAACCGTTCTCCACAAACAAGGGCTTTGCTGACTTCAGCCAGAGCTGACCTGGGGTTCCCGGCTGCTGCTCAAAAGGAAACGGACACCAAAGAATCTGTCATTCACAATGCCGTTGTTGTAGACTCATATTACAGGGGCTCCTGTTCAAGGAAATAAGCACTAATGTGTCTTTCAGCAAGCTCGATTGGCACTTTGAGAGCGCAGCTGGAATTTAAGAGCCATGTGGGCCACTAAAGCTGATGAGATAGTGAACTAGCAATCAAACAGACACTCAAGTGCTGGATACAACATGCCAGAACATGGATGCCTGTTTCTAAATGTACAACTGATCAAATCTTGTATGCACTTGTTTTTTTTGTTTTTTTTTAAGAACTCCAGCTGGTCAATGACACTCCACTGAACATTTAGCCTCTGTATATGAGATAATTTGATATATACTGTATAGACATTACAAAAGAATGACAGAATTTCATGACAATCTCAATCCCATTTTAGGGGTCTTGCACACAAATGGTGCACTGTATGAATTGGGATTTTATAGAAATTTTCTTATTTTTTTCCAAAGGGTCAGATTAAAGTTTTAAGTTGCCAGATTGAGTCAAAAATTGTTAATAACATTTAAAACAGGCATTCATCATGCATTATTCTTGCTCATAATACACAGAGTATCAGTCACATAAGGAACAGGTTAACATCACGTGAATGTACAGCTACCCTTGGGGAAACCTCTGTTTCTAATGTTTGGAGAACATTCATTCTTCAATTTTGTATAATTTGTAGCAATCTGAAAGCCATTATTGGCTCAGTTTCAGATTACACTGGCAACACAGTTTTGTTATATTTGATACGAGACGTTTTGTAAATGATCAGGTGTATCTAAATGTGCAGAGCAGCTGGAAGCACATCATGTGCCTTCAAATAAGTATTACAGTCTCTAACCAACAGTGTTTTTGAGCTAAATTAAACTCTTTTATCTTCCACCTGTGGTTAGTTGGTCTCATCTCTCTGAAACAACAGTAATACATCAGATATAAGAATGGAAGAACATTCAAGAAACTGTATGATATCACTAACATAAAAAGTTCAATTTTTAGAACAGGCTGACTGAGAATATGTGACATTCCTGTTACCCAAGAAGGGAAAACTTGTTTTAACCCATGGACTAATTCTTTCTAGGGACACAGCCATGGATACGTTTACATCAAGAGCAGCCAACGTAAATAAACGGCTGTTATTAAAATATGGAACAGATAACAACTCTATTAATGTCACTGACCAACAGAGCAGTCAGAATGATTGATCTAAACGACGGGGGATGTCATCTATTTGACATATCTCCACCTTTTCCTGTTTAGATTGATATCGCATCCTGTTTAATGCCACACACGGTGACCAGCTTCAACATAATTTGCCTTTCCACACTAAGAGCAAAATTCTGTACAATGCAACAATCACAGAAAATACTTGATGCTTAATATCTACACTACTGTTCTGTTTGGGGTCAAAAAAAAAATTCTGAAAGAAATTAACACTTTTATTCAGCAAGGATGATTTAAATTAATCAAAAGTGATCAGTCAAAAAAAAAAAAAATGCAGTTCTTATAAACTTCATATTGATGAAAGAATCTTGTATCAAAAAAATGTATCATGGTTTCCACAAAAATATTAAGCAGACAAATTGTTAACTGTCAATAATAGAAATAGTTTCTTAAGAACGATGGTTACGGCAGACTATATTTTGCATGAAATATATTTCACATTGGATTTCACAATGACAGAAACCAAGCAATCAAAAAAAAAAAAGCTTTCAAAAGTTTGTGTAATATATTGGGTGTTCATGGGAAGTGCTGAGCCGGAGTTTGCTCATGATTAAACAGTGTAAACAGATTTTGGTGGCTGTAAACAAGACATCAATATACATTTTAACACCATAACTGCCCTCTGAAGAGGATCAGCTCATTCTGAAGACGTGTGTATTAGCAAGTGCTGTGTAGGCAGTGAAACACTAAAAGAGGACATGAAATCCAATGCATTAAGAGTTTACTGTCTTTTTAAGTCATAAACATTATAGCGGCCAGAAGCAGAGATTTATGCATGCTGGGAAGTGTTTGCTAAAGTATAATTTAATGCTTGTGTAAAAAAAGCTAGAAATGCATTGGTCCCTGATCATATATGGCCATACGACATATATGATCAGGGATTCTCTTGATGCCTGCTACAATACTATTCTCATACTAATAGCGTATATCTTGAACAACCTTGAGGCTTCATCAGAATATAATTAACAGAATCTGGTGATGCAACAAAAAATGAGAGAAATCACCAAAGAAAAGCTTCAGTTGGAAAGTTTATTTCAGTAGTCCTTCATGGCAATTAAGACAAAACACTTAAAAGTTTGCAGTTCCAACATGCTAAACAATCATTTAACAAAAAAGACATAAAAGAAAGATCCGAAAGAAAAAATAAAACACCCACTAGAGAATCTGAAACCACATAAAAGTGCATTTTCATTCTTTAAAGTGACCAACACTAGAGGGAGATTCAGTGTACAATAAACATCTAGGCTAAATCAAGAACGACTTTTCCATTCATGCAATCAGTCACTTTGACAGACGGGGTTTTAGAAAGCAACAGTCCAAGCCTTTAACCAACATCACTTCATATTTCCAGAGTTTGAGTCGAACGACGACCCACAACGCCAACGATCGGTCAAAAGCACAGCTTAAGGAACTAAATGCACAGTAGCCATAAACATATTCTTTTCACGTTAAATAAAAGACTTTTCTGCTGGAATTAGAATAGTTACAGTGAGATCTGAAACTAAATAAAGAACATGAACAGTACATATATCCAGATAAATAAACTGCAACTGATATGAACTAGATAAGAGAATATTCATCACATAAAAGAGTGCATTGTGCAACATCTCTGGTCAAGCTTTAGCAGAGCTTCATACAAACCGAGACACACATGCGCTCACACACTTACACCTGCTGACGTACAGGGCCATGCATCGGCATATACCTCACCGTTAGTATACCTGGAGTCGTGCAGCCGAACGAAACAAGCAGCGGCACACAACCGGACGTCACACACGCATCCTCATTCGAGTCTCTCAGGCAAGTGATTCACCAGGAGAACCGTTTTAATAGAGTTAAACGGACATGCACACTGACGGGATCACGAACACTCAGTCACGCACGCATCCGAAACGCAGCTCACATGCACATGCAGACGACACACATTGCGCAGACGCACTATACAAAACGTGCTCTCCCACAGGGAGAAGAAAACCAACGCACAAACTCCACCATCAAATAAAGAAGCGTTAATAAGACAGTTGTAGTCACTTAAGCTCAGTGTTTGAAGGGGAACCACAAAAAAGAGGGACGACGTTTTCATTACAAAGCAGATCAGTCCAAAAAGTCACACTTAGTCCAATATAAAAATACAAATTCACTAAATAACTATAGAGACAAAGTTGTATCGATACTGTGTGGGTCTGGCAAAATCCTCCGTTCCTCCCCTATGCTAATGGCACTTATGTTTGAGGGATTAACACTCTGTTCTAAGTCAAATAAACATTATGGTGAACATCTGATCATCTAAAAGAGCATGAGCCCCTTACGATGAGCTGAACGCATAAACAGGGCCGAGGTTTAATGTGTGGCTTAAAAAGCTCTTGTTTTGCCTGTGTAGCAGCCTGATACTACATCATTATTTTGGTCTAACGTGTAAGCGTGCTGTAACGCTGCCTAGCTAGAGTCTCACTGGGCTGATCAAAACTAAATTCAAAACTTAAAACAAAAATTTTTTTTTTTTTTACAAAAATTAAACTACAACATAAAAAAATCTAAATTCCAAACACAACTAAACACAAAACAAAAAAAAAATATATCCAGTAATGGCTGAAGGCAACAACAAATATAAGGCCTTGGTACATTAGAATTTAACATGAAAAATAATCAAAAATCAAGGGTAAAGTTCTCAAATTAGTGCAGAACGCATCTGAGGCGTGTAAAAACAACCGGTTAACACCTAATTATAATTTCGAAATATTGTTTTTAAAATCGAGACTGCATTTATAATGTTCTTTGGATCTTAATTTCTGGTTATCTGGCATACGTCTCGTTTTCTGACGCAAATAAAATACATATGTAATATAAAAACAAAAGGGAGTGTTTTATGTGCCATTAATGATTAGGAAGTCACAGTCAAAGACCATTACCACAAATGTTTCTCAACACCTTTATCACCACCCTCATCAACAGCACATTTTTGGCTGTAACACTCATAGCCGAAGGAATGGCGGAGGAGAGAGGAGAGTCAATTCTTTATGCTGTTCTCCTCTGTTTGACAGATCAGAAACCATACTGACCGCAGGCTGGGCAAAAATATGCTAGCACAGTGCTCGTGTCTGCTGTTGAACATACAACTACAGCACAGCAGAACTTGATTTTTTTCTCTCTCTCATAGTGCTTCGTTTTTCGTATCCGTTGTTGCCGTAGGCTGGCCAAAGTTAAACTGACAGGCTTCAGCTCTCTGCCAGCCTTTAAAAAGTTAAGTGACCGCTGAGAGGGGGGCGGGGCCCAGCGAGCCAGATCTCACCACTCACTGGTCCGTTGCTTGGTGGTGTCATAGGCTCTGATGACCTCAGACTGGGAGAGCACTCCGTTCTCATCCTGTGAGAATGCGTAGCCGTCTGTAAACAGGACCCAGAAAACATGCATCAGATAAATACACTCAACTAAACATTCTGCTGGCAAACTTACAAGACAAGTGATACAAATTAAATCATATAAAAACATGAAGCAAATAAAATAAACAACAATGAGATGGGGAAAAAAATGCTCATTTTGTTTCTCTAGCATGAGCCTTCTCTTAAATCATCACCAGGGTGTTCACTTTGAAAAATAAATAAAAGATTTCTTAAATCAGAAGAAGGAGAATAATGTGTGCATACAAATAGTAGTAATAGTACCTTTAGGTTGTCATTTTGTTTTGAAAAAAAAAAGACAAAATTATGTAAGGCCTTTAAATTTCTAAATAATATTAATTATATAAAATTATATTATTCATGCATTACATAAATTATATATTATATATAACACTAATAAAATAATAATGATTTAATGAAGTAAAAATAGACAATTATATTTCATTATGAATAAATCTTTATGGCCATAAATAAATATTTGCTCAGCAATAAAAAAAATAAAAAAAACATGGGTATATTGTCTGTAAACTCAAAAGAGGATTCAAGGACTGTCTGGATTATTCTGTTGTTGGGAATCTACAATGACCTACATACACTAATGGGACCAAAATGGCTGAAAATATTTGTAGTGGTCCAAGTTTAAGTCTGCAGAAAGACGCAGCAAAAAGACATCAGTATGCACAACATCCTGACTGCCTGCTTCCAGAAAAAAAGATTCTAATCGGTCTCAGAGGGGACCTTGAGGAACCGGCTACGGTAATGTGGGTGGGCTGCCTGGGATGATCGAGGTGGTTAATAGTAATTATCTTGGCAGAATCTAAATGGAAGCTGGCAGGAAATAAGACGCTGTGAGTGTCGTAATATCAGATTATTGATTCTACCTGGAAAAATCAACTACTCTTTCTAAAAAACACAATAAGAAACTCATTCCATCAAATATAGTTATTCTTATCCTTTGATTTGGACTGAGGATATTCAAATTCTAGTTTTTTTTATATGAAAGATCTCACTCATACTGGCACTATGGTCTCTACAGCACTGCACACTGGGATTGGCCCTTTGATCTATGACTCACCTTATGTCTCAACCGACTCGACCTCTACCTGCTGGCCTGAGGGGGCACATGCAAGAGGCCGAGGAGGGCAATGCATTGTGGGAATGACAGCAGGATATTGAAATGATTAAATATGACTCTGCCTATCAATCAAAAACACAGCAGCACATGCACAGGTGGGGAATGGGAAGGACATGATGGACAATGCAGGTTTAATTATGGTGTTAATATGTATAGTGTTTTTAAGGCAACTGTATTAATGTTTAGCGGTATGAGCTAAGGGGTAAAAAAAGCATAAAACATCAGACTATCACTGAACGTCCCCCATCCTCACCTAAAAGCAAACACAAAAAAATAGAGCAAATAAAGAGAGGTAACGAACAGAAAATAAAAAGAAAATGTAAATGTAAAACTATAAAGAAATGAAAAGACAATGGTTCCCAACTGGTTATGCTTCAGGAGCCAGATTTTACAGTTTATTACACAAAAGCAAAATATAAATGGTTAAAAATTATAAATCTAAAATAATTATATTAATAATAAAAAAATATATATAAAAATAGTTTAAACAAAAAATAAATATATTTATTTTTACTATTTAATAAAATACATTTAATAAATATTATATTTTTAAACAATGAATTGGATTTTTTAATAGTTTATAATTTTACAATTCATTTATATAAAAAATGTATTATAATTTGTAATTTTGAAATATTTGTTTAAATAAATAGGATCACAAAATATTTAATCATTTATCTTAAGCCTTATTTTTCTCTATCCTTACTAAGCATTTGCATTTGTTTTCAGCATTGTTTTCACCTGCTGTTTGCAACCTCAAGCAGACCTGTAGCTCACCAGTTGAAAACCACTGAAAGGAAGCACATGAAAACTGGAAGTGTAGTATAACAGCATATCCAGGAAGGAAATGTTAGTAATTTGATAAGACTGTGCATGTGTGTGTGTGAACTTTGTGACTGTACATATTATGACCTAATGAATGAGCTTCAATAATCAGTCAAATCTGGACTGCGATATCCTCAGCAAAATTCTCCAGATTTAACACGGAAGTGCAAGTTATTCCCCGATAAAACATGAGATTTGAGTCCCCGTGCCCAAATAACAGCTGCCTGAGAAGGAACCCTACGACTGGTGCCATCTTGAACATTGTTAATGCAGCTGTTGATTTCAAGTAATATAATGACTACATTAGTTACTATCCACAGCTGTCAAGAACAACCATCCTCACCTAATTTTCATGGGGTTTGGTTCAGATTTGTACATCTGTGAGTGTCTGCAGTTGCACATCCATAAGCCCTTGCGTTTGAGAGTGAACCTGCATTTCGATGCTGCAGATGGGGATGGTAGGGTGTGTGTGCATCAGTGATTCTGCATGAGTCTGTCTGTGATGTCTGCGTTGTGAAGAACATATAGGTGTGTCTGCATCCATGTGCTTGTGGGTGGCAAAGCACATGTGTGTCGCTGACGTACGGAGTAGATTCTGCTGCATGGAGTCGGACCGGTACAGACTGACGGTGCTCTTCTTAAAGACGTTCTTCAGGAGCTGGGCTCTCTCAGTCAAACTACAGGGAAGGACACAAAGATGAACAGTACTGAGACACAGACATCATTATGCACATAACGGACGTCTATTTTCTCTTCACACAGAAGAGCGATCGAATTAAAGACAAACTTCCTGCTGGACAGATGTGTCTCCAGTGAGAGGCTGAGGAGACAGAATGAGACCGGAGCCGGGAGAGCACCCAGTAGGATCGTTTACACTTGGAGGTGATATCCCTGCTGATCCACTGTTTTTGCTTGTTCTGTTTTATTATGAATTCACGAGGAATGGCCCTCACCTCTTCCCATGCACCACAGCTCCTGGATCTTTCGACAGTGCCTCCAACTCCTGCACCTCATCAACCAGGGTCTTAAAGCACACCTTTTTCATACTGAAACACAGGAAGAAGAAAAAAAGTCGAAACTGTGAGAAAGATGAAAGAAAAACCCCTCAAGGTGGATAAAATGCATATAAGAATGAATATAACGTCAGACTATCACTGAACATCCCCTATTCTGCTCTAAAAGCAAATATAAAAAAAAATATATATTTTTTTAATAAATCCAATGTTTATTTAATAAAATGTGATAAATAAATACATTTTAAAAGCTGGATTTTTAAAAGTTACAGCTTACAGTAATAAGTGCTTGCTACACAAAAGTAAACACAAATATTGTTACAAATTATAAATATTTAAATTAATAAAATATAGATTTTTTTATGATGATGATTATTTTTTTTATTTTGAAGCTTTATTTTTGTCTCATATCTATGCATGATTATTTATTCTTAGGTGCATTACAGTATTTGCCTTCAGCAAATTTGCCTTTATGCTATTCTCTTTATTTAAACAATTCATTTTGATTTAACCCCAGTGTTTCAGGTTTCTTGTTCAAACACAATTGCATCATGTCAAATTGACTTAAAACGGTTACTCTTTGGCTTAACTCGATGATCATTTTGAAAGAACATGTTTAATCAAGTAGCTGGATAGGGAGAGAAAATTTTGAAATAAAATGATATTTTATGCATTTTTAGCAAGATGAGAAAATAGGGAGACTTGTTAATGTTTAATGTTCTGTTATGTTGGCGTCAAGTGTCAGGTGTGTGCTTAGGTTAAGAACCTGCTAACAAGAATTAATACTGCTTTAATAAAAAAAAAAAAAAAAAAAAAAAAAACTATAATAGGAGTGCTAGGGATGTTATCAGTACCATCTTCAGACTGCCAAAATCGAATATCGTATGTGTACAGAAAAGTTAGATTTAACTTGCTATGTTATTAAAACACTTTGGCTGAACTTCATTTAATCATGGACAGTGCTTCCACGTGATGGAAAGTTATTTCTACTTAAATACTTAATGTACAATGGACTAAAGTGATCAGAGTAAACTCAACTAAATTTAGATATGTCCAAATAACTTGATTCGATTGTATCCAAATAACTTGATTCAATCGTGTTCAAATGAGTGTGGAACAAGCAATTTAAATTTTACATCAATACTTTTAAAATTGTACACATGACAAAAAATGTTAACAAGAATCTCTCATAGAAAGATAAGTTCAGGGTTTAATGACTTGTAATGAAGAATCTCAACTTACACTTTGTAGGCCACATCAAACACCAGAGAGGTGATGGGAATGAAGATCAGACCCATCCAGAAGACTCCTGAACTGAACATCATGTCCGCCTGGAAATCACACACACACACACACACAGATGAGACAGAGCACCAAAGACAATCTGTGACTGATTTCTAAACTTAACCAAACCATTTAACTGGACTCTTATAACATCAGTACTACAAAGAGCTCAGCTTTCAATCATCAATCTGACCAAAACTTAAAAGATGTAATCTAGTTAAGGGGGACTGGAATGTGTCTCATCCTGGTACATCTTAAATGTGTGTGTGACAGATGAGAAGCCAGACAGACAAGAAGAGGTGAAATGAGAGACAGATGAGAGAGGCAGTCTGCTAGAGTACGGATCCCAACTGTTAACTGCTAATGGTACTTCCCAGATCACCTCTCTAAAACCCTGATCCCAAATGATGACCCGGACCTTTCAGAATGCCTTCTTCATATGATACATGGGAGACAGTGGGGTAAGATGTCACCATATTTTAAAAAAGGGTCTATCATTACACAGCTGTCTGTGCCTGTCAGAAACACACACACACAAAATTTGGCATAGCAAGTAGTCATTAAATTGGTCAAAAGTGACAGTAAAAAACATTTATAATGTAATGTTTTTTTTATTTCAAGTAAATGCTGTTCTTTTGAACTTTCTATTAATCAAATAGTCCTGAAAAAAACATGTTTCAACAAAAATATTAAGCAACTGTTTTCAACATAATCAGAAATGTTACTTGAGCAGCAAATCAGCATATTAGAATGATTACTGAAGGATCATGCGACACTGAAGAATGGAGTAATTGCTGCTGAAAATTCAGCTTTGCCATCACAGGAATAAATTACATTTTAAAATATATATTTTAATAGAAAACAGTTTAAATTGTAATAACATAACATAAAATAATATAACAGAATTACTAAATTAAGCATTTAACATTTAAGCATATAACAGTGAGGTAAAGTGTACCATATGCTTTTTTCTTAGTTCATTTTTGTATTTGCAATATAGTAACCATTAATTCACATTACAGTTAACCTCTAACATCACTAGACCACTTTTCAAATAATATTTATATTATTTATATAATAGTTCAAATGCTATTTAATATCTAATCATATCAAACACGGCCCTATGTTACAGAGCTTACTTTCACATGTAAGTTGACAGAAGAAATCCTGAAATATAATTAGGCATTTTAGAAAAAAATAAAATAAATAAAATAAAATAAAAATAAACACTCTCCCCTACGTGTTTGTGAATAAGAAATGCATATGAAAAGTAAAGGAATACTAACCACTGCAATCACCCCAAAGACACCAACCCAAATAGTTAAAAGTGCCTAATGTTTCTGCCAAACTATTTTAACCTGGGATGAGATTAAGAAAAAGCTGTGAGGGCCATTATTTTAAAATGGATGAACTCAGATATGCATAAACAGCACTATCTGTTATCAGTCAAGATTACTGGATGTTACCACCTATCACTCTTAGAAAGCACTGCATGGTACCAAGTGCAAGACTCAGACACATAAGTCTTAATTACTTTAATGAATCAGTTCATAACTGTAGGATAAATTTCCTGAAAATTCCAAATTGGAACAGAATAAACTCGTTATCTCAAAAATTTCCACAACCAAAACAGATGATTCCTAAATGAGAGCCAAAGCAAGGCCAATTTCAGAACATCCATCTGCCAAAATACACTCATTAATTAAATAAACAAGCAGTGAACAGATTAATCGGTCTTGAACTGGGTGATACTAAGACAATCAGTGTGGTAATGATAAAGGTCTTCAAAGACATCAATTTCTCAGTTAATTATAATAGTTTGAGGAGAATATGTCTTTTCAATGTAAAACATCTTAATCATAACAGGCACATCCAAAGTGAAGAGTGCGAAAATCTTTGAGGAAGGAAGGAAATTGGAGAGACAGAAAGAGAAAAGGAGAGAGAAACAGAGTAAAAGAAAGGGTGCTCTGTTGTTCCACAGGGTCTGATTCACAAGACAGGGATATTCTGGCGTGGGCTAGTGGGGTGTGAGATGCAGTCGTCTTTGCTTATCCTGTTTGTTTTGGCTCAGCTGCGTTGAAAATACCTGTCATTAAATGTCAAAGAGCGCTGATCCGCCCCCTTGCAATTCCATTCAACATACATGCTTGCACCACTTGTCTAAACTCGGCACTCCGAGACAAATCAACGTCCTGTAATCTAAACCAGTAAAGGCCCCAGCACAAAGCCGAGAGGCACACCTGCCTGGAGCAATCTACCACAGCTTTCAGGTGTTCCCAAATTAGCTAATCTACTCACCATTACAGGAAAATAGACTTTGATGTCTAACAAAACAACAGGGAGGCAGGAAATCCCAAATTACTGGAAATCTGAATGGCTTCCTCCACCCTACTAATGTCATCTTTGACCCTGAATGAAACAAGTGTTGTGTGTTGCCAAGAGAAATTAGAGAAAATTGTGCATGGGTGAAGATATATTAATGAATCATGTAGTGCTGAAATTCGACAGTCCCAAAGGTAACATGTAATTTTCTCTTTGATAATGGCAGTTAAATAATTTTCATTGGGGGCCAATGTATTGAACAATCAGACAGGACCACAGGGACTCAAAAACATTAAGTACGAATAAAACCAGTGGTGGGAATGTTAAATTGGAGTCAATAACTATGAATGTACAACGTCAAACTTTATTAATGTTTTCCTGCTAAGTTGTATGTCATAAATACTCTTAAAAATCTATAAATGGGAATACTATGCTACGAATTAAAATGATAAAGAGAACTTACAAAGTTTCATACAGTATGTTTTTTCTAACATAATTTCTATGGATAGTTCTGGTAAAAAACAAAATCTAGCTGGCTTTTGGGAGCATGCAGGCCATAGGTGTATTTTTATGGCAGAATAATAAACCACTATGGCCTCGTCTCGGCTGGCAATCAAGGGTGTCCGCATCAACTGTTTAGACAGGTCATCGACTCCCTCTGTCTGCTGGACACATTCTCAAACAAATACCCACACATATACACATCACGCAAATTTCCTGCTGGAAAAAAACAAAATAGTTAAGCTAGTAACCAGCCACAATGTTCCAAAAACCAGCTAAAATTGATAGGACTTTGGATTTGTTTATGGTCCTATATGGTGTACCAATGGTCTACAAACACAGTTAATAGCTGAAGCTGATTTTTCTCCCCTCTCTTAGCATTAAAAACAACATGCATGCAAAATATTAATTATGCAAATATTTAGAAAAGAAATTGTGCAAAGATATGCACACATACACAAAGCATCCCATCCTTTGTCATAAGCAATCAAAGTACTGAATGTGTTCTCCAGAGCTGGCATGTGTGCGGTTTGAAGGGCTCTTCACTAAAGTTATCACTGAATAGGGGGTAAGATTATCACATTTCCCTATTGGATTTGACCACATTGTACATGCAACTTGGACAAAAGCTGATGCTAAATGGAAATCTGACAAAAACAAACTCTATATATAAAGCACACACTGTAAACCACAATAAGTTGACATGAACACAAACTTTCATGCACAAACCATAATTAATCAAAATTACTATGTTGCTCTGTCAGAAGCACACACGGACCATTTAAAATCTTCAATCAGGTCTTTCAAAACCTGAAAGCAAACGTTGACAGATTCTATTAGCACTTAAACCAGGCAAACTGAGTCTGAGTGTTTATCATTCGATCCCACGTGGTAACTTCCTCTGGTGATTGACAGGATGGATTAACTATGCCTGGGTGCACTAATCAGCAGTGCTGTGAAATAGCAGAGTTTGGCTGCTCATGCCTGCCAGTGATAATGTTGGCCCAAGAATGTTAATACCACCCATTGTGATGGTAAATATGAGATGAGAACAATTCAGACGTGGTCATTCACCCTCGGCCTGCCCCTTTACATACTAACGGCTGAGCCAAGCCAACTTTATCCATGTTCACACACATACAGTCATGTGCAAGAAGAATAAAGAATGTTTTTGCCTCTTCTCCCAAAAACTGACGTGGTCATTCACCCTCGGCCTGCCCCTTTACATACTAACGGCTGAGCCAAGCCAACTTTATCCATGTTCACACACATACAAAGTCATGTGCAAGAAGAATAAAGAATGTTTTTGCCTCTTCTCCCAAAAACGAAATATTCCCCTTGCAATTAATTCAAATATGCTTTTATTATGAGCCAAGTCAGTCACTCAAAAATTCTAATGTCAACTTGTGTATATAAACATCCTAATAGTAAACGCTCAAAAGTTCCTCTTGTCAGTTTGTGGTTTGAATGTGTAGAGCATTGAGATTCAAAGTCTCAACGGACGAGATGGTGAAATACAGCTGGACTCCCATCTAATGCCTGTTGTTTTTGAAAGAGAGAGAAAAATAGAGGGAGAAGAAAAGCAAGAGAGACATCTAATTCCAACAGGGCCTGCAAATACAGCAATACTCAGCTGCTGTCATCTCGAGGCATGAGGGATGGAGCTATCCACAAGGCCTTTGAGTGTCCAGTATGGAAAAAACATACTGTAATATCCCATCAACCCCATGTTCCACTCTCAGCATGGAACATCTCCATGGATTGAGGGAAATTTAGGAAAAACTATCTGAAAACACAAAGAACTCAAATAAGCGAACTTTGGCATACACTCTGTCTGAGTGTGTAGAAAATTAGTCACTCGGAGCAATAACAATTTATTCACAGCACATCACATACACACTAATGTACTGGAAAATATTACTTTAAAACAATCCTCATCTCTTATACTGTGAGGACCATAGGCTGTTCAGGTTTTACTGATTTCCAGAGTTAGAAGTCAAATCTCCATCACTGACTAGTAAGGCACGTACCTTTAGTACTCAAAGTGCCACAAATAGAGAAGAAACACCCCACACATTCTTTATAGAGTGGGGTCCAAAAGCCTGAGACAACATTGAAAATCTGGGATTCAATATCTAATTTAAGCCAGATAATAAATAGCAACTTAAAGGACTTATTACAAATTATATTTTAGATTGTGCTCTATTTCTAAGTCACTGATCAA